GTTCGGGAACTCTTATGACCGAACCCTGGGTTCGGCAACTCTATGTTCGAACATTTCGAACCTTTTCCCCTTTATTTTCACTGGGCTTTCTTTGTTTTTAACCCCCAAAATCGAGAGCGTCTGCCCTTCTCTTTCGCTCCTGTGGGAGAAGACGTTTCAAGGGTGTCTGAACCCGGGGTTCGAACTCGGGGACTTTATCCTTGGGAGTGGGAACTTTATGTTCGAACTTTGGGTTCGGGAACTTTATGTTCGAACCCCAGGTTGCACCAAGTGTTTGAATTTCAAAACCTAAGGCTCAGTGGAGTTCACACCACGCAACAGCTATATGCGACGACAACACGAATGCACGAAAGGCTTCAAAGTGGGAAAGCTTCAGCTGGTCACAGGTGTCTGCAGTTTGAACAGTGGGGCACCGGTCTTTGAACCATCCCTTCAGCTTTACCGCTTTAAAACCAGGACTGCGCGAGGAGAAAAGCATGTGGGAAGCAGGTGGGTGGACCAGGTTGCAGGGACAAAGGGCAAGATGCAGCCATTTATGCAGTGCGTATCGTGTCATAACATGTCGTGTCATGGCATGCTAGAGGCACAATATTTTTGCCAGCCTCGTGGCCGGTGGAGTCCGCAGACCCAGCAGACCCACAGGCCCAAAGTCCGGCAAATGAGGCTTGCCAGCCTTGAGGCCGGTGGAGCCCGCAGACGCGCCGGCCGAAGTGAAGACTTTCGCCATTCGCATTGTAGGAGCATTTTGCTTGCTGTGTGGTGTGAACTCCATTTGAACACAAGTAATCCAAGACCCGTTTTGCTCGTCCGTCGGCTTTGGGGGGTGCCAAAAATCGAACCAAATCTGTGGGCACCTCCTCTGGCGCGGGCCCTCCCAAGCCGACTTAAGTTCTCACATATACGTAGGAAAAAGAAGTTCATAGATTTTGTAATTTTGGTGTTGTTGAAGAATCGTGACAAGTTTAAGAAGCTACGTTAGTAAGTAAGCTTAGTACTATGTCGGTTGTGCACCAGTGCGAATTCGAGTCTAAAATTTAGAAGCTTTCAGAAAACGGTATCGCCGTAGTCGAAGGTATTGCAGCACCATCGTTCAAATGTCGGAAACCCAGTAGAGAGAAGCGAAGTTTTGTAGGCCACGTTTGAATGCAACGGACGGTTGCATTCCGGATACCGAAGAAACAAGATGTACACAGATTGTACACGCAAAGCCATTACGAGCTCTGTACATAAAACCTCCTAGTTGCCAATGCGTGCATTTCGGTTGAAGCTTGTCGATTGTTGCTCCCACATCGTGCTGTCTGTATCCGTAGAAAACATTTCAACACAAAAGCAGACACTTGCAGAAGCCATGGAGACACAGCAGCAGCAACGAAATCACAAAACCAACCCACAATGTCGAAGACAACACAGAACCAATGTGGATGTAACCAGCAATATGAGTTAATGCAACCCTGAATCAGGTTACTATGACTATGACTATGACATGGCCTATTCGCTTGTTTTTCCACGGGGTTGTACCCGCTGTATTTGCAGTAGGGCCCAGTAGCGGCGTTGGCTCCAGCTAATCCCAATGACCGTTCACGCGACCGGTCCGTGGTTCAAGTTCAAGCTGTACGATGTTTCTTGAACCAATAATGACTCCTTGCTGTGGTCGGTTGGAAATGCCTTTACCACGAAGCTTTGTGACAACAAACAATTTCCTGGTCTGGAATTGGGCACGACGGTTGCCTATGTATAGTTAAATGTCCAGCATGACTTCATGTTCATCGCGCGGGCTTCTTGTCCACACAGGCTGGCACCTTTGGTAGTCTGGTGTCAGACTGCTGGATCATGAAGCTTCCGCACGTGCATATACCAGGTCTCACAGCATCAGATGCCGGGTGTGTCGACCAAAGTTCATGCCCCAGTTGATGATTTGTAGGCTTGTTCCATCTCATCATGTTGCGCCACGTGCCGATCGAAGGTGCAATTCGACGGCCTTGCCGCGAGAGACTTGTAATCGGCCAAGTTGTCTTACGGATAGCTGTGTATGTGTGCGCAAAAGGGCTGGTACGACTGCGACTGTGCATAACAAAGGTGTGACCGACATCCCGCGCGAGCGCGAAGGGCGAGCATTGCCACCGCAGTTGACCCGTGATGAGCGCCGGGCCTTGTTTCACAGGCACCGTGGTCTCAACAAGGTTTCCTTCCTTGCTTGCAGTTTCTGCATGCATGCGTTCAATGCGCACGACGGTCATGCTGTAACAGCGTTTTCTGCGACAGCAGCACGTGATCTTGCTCATTAGTTTCAGGACGGGCTTGTGTTGTACGTCTTCTTAATGAGTCCTGAGTGGCACCATAGAAGACAGTGCCTCTTTTTCGAACAAGACGAAAAGTTGTCAGCTCTTTCTTTCGACGTTTTTTTTTTTCACTTTCAGTCAAAGAACGCCAACTATATCGGAGCTTTCGATGACGGTATGAACCCATTATGCATCCGTTTGTCCTGGGGTCAACGTCGGGGTTGCCTCCACAAGTTATGTACACGCTCGGGCGTGTACAATCGTCACCATCACGGCCACCGCCGCCATCACCAGCCGCTGCCACAACAGCCGCCACCACAACCACCACCGACAGCGGCACCACCACCACACCACCACCACAGCCGCCACCACCACCACGACCACCACCACCACCACCACCACCAACAGCAACAACAACAACATAGGAACGACATACGATGACAATGGGGATGCCAGCCACTACTCTTGCGAGTATGACTGTAATCCTTGCTAGCCTGCTAGTCTTACTTTGAGTGCCATTTCTGTTGCCACTGTTGACATGGCATTCTGGCGGTAATGGAGAAGATAGGGACCAACAGTGAGAGATGCCAATACGAATATACAGGTGCTCAGACTCCTGCTGATTTCGTCTCGGACACGCACACGGATATCGAAAATACAGGTGTCGAAAACAGGAAAAGGCGTTTATAGTGCGTGCACTCGTACTAGCACTTGCAAACTGACAGGAAGGTAGAAGAGGATTGCGGCTGTGAGCCCAGTTTGTGCAATGAATCTTGCGGATGTGTCACAGATGTCATAGACAGGTGTGCAGCACCACAGCTTCAGTTCGTGGATTTTGGTTTGTGCAACAACAGCCTTGAACTTTCCAATGGTTGTTGAGGTAAGAGGACTCAGTTCAATCCTACACGTTTCTGTATTTCCGCTCAATGACAGAAAAGCGCAAGCCACCAACGCCCAGAAGAACTAGTTGTAACATCATTTGTTGCCGGTCCTAGACATCCGTGCCTTCGGCAGGCTTCACACCAATGTGCGGAGAAATGTGACAACTCCGGATGAAGTACGCAAGCTTGTGCTTGGAAAAGCTGGCTATGTGTGATCATGTAGCAATTGAACTGACGCGAGTTGTTCTTGAGGTACTTGCAGTGGTGGAAAAGCTCAGCCGGCTTGCAGTTGCCTGTGCAAGCGAATCTGTACAGTTTTCGACAGTTCTGGCTTTGGTGGGACATGTCCAGCGTTCACGTGTTCCGCTTCAATGTCTGATGGGATTCTACGGACATTGCATCTGTGGATTTGTGCCAGGTGTCACCGCTGGCAATTACTCAGGGATGCGAGAGACTGGGTGGCGCTGACCCCATCCAGTCAAAAGTTTTTTAGGTAGAGCGACTTGGAAGTCTTCGCCAGCCTGAAGGTTGCTATCAGTGCACTCGGGCGTGCTGGGCTTTGGGAGCAGGCATTGGGCATGCTAGAGGCGCATTCGCTGATCTGTGCGGTCGGTGAAACACCGATTCCTGATTTCGTTCTCAGGCTATGAGGCAAGAACGCCTCGTTGCGGTGCATGCCTTCAATGCAACTATGTCTGCCTTGGAGACCACTGGCCTGTTGAAGTTAGAGATCATTTATTATTGCCAATGCGCAAAAAATCAAGATCCTTGCAGTGGTGTCACTGGTGCAGGGGTTCGCAAAGGCTCTTGAATTTTCATGTGTCGTGCACATCAGCGACCAGGAAAGGTCACCGATGGCCAGCGGCCCTTCAGCTTTATCGCGACATCAATCGCGACTCGCATGCGCTTTGGGAATCATGTCTCTGTTAATTCGGCATGACATGCCCAGACTATCTCAAGGATACGAGCTGCAGCCTGATGTTGCAGCTCACTCATTGTCTCCGGCACCGGATATGCCGAGAGGAAAGGCAACCCCACACTGCGTTACGTTCCAGGTCACCGGCAATGCCTTGCTGTCTGCTTACGATCGTGGGGGCCATTGGCGCTGCCAAAGCCTTAGCTGCATCTTCGTCGGGGCTACGGCAGAGCAATCCGATGGTTCTCAGATGCCGTCGCTTTTTTCGACGAGATGGGTAACGACAGACTTCGGCCGAATGTTGTGACTTACAGCAGGCCCCTGAGTTGTCTTGTTTGTCGCAATGCTGGAGAACTCATAAGTAATCCATCAGCATGATGCAGTATTGCAAAGGGCCCGTCAAGCCAAGACATGCATCGCGTAAGCCCAGTGCATTGATTCTTGAGAGTTTGAGCCGAGGCACAGTTATCTCTTGCTGCGAGCGAGGCCGAGCATGGCAGCAAGCGCTGCAGGACGGGGGCACTGCCAATGCATGGTCGGTTTTGAAGCAATGGCCTTTTTGATTGCTAGGTATTCTCCGAAAGCCGCGGTATTGATGGAGACACTGTGATCTTCAATGCAGCACTTAGTGCCTGTGATCGAGGGTCTCTGTGGCTGAAGGCAGTCCATAATTATGTGGAGCACATGTGCCAATGTTGAACGAGCACTGTCGCTCAGGGCATCCGAGTTTGCATCTTGTCTGGCGGATGTGACCATCGTTTCAGGCTTTGGATATCTTTGCAGAGATGCACAAGGTCTTGCCCACATTTGTCGTACGGCTGTCGTACTGTGAACTGGACATGCAGCTCTTCCTGTGACATCGATCTTTGGGTTCACAGTGCTGCCACTGGTCACTCGCCTCGTCGTACAAGCACGTGAAGCTTCATGACGCCGCGGCGCAGCCCTGTCGAACATGGTGTTTATTATGGTGATTTTTTATATGTGCTTGTGTGGAGAGTTCTGAGGGCATGCAGCCGTCTGATTGCTCTCACATTGCACTGAGGACTGTCAAGGATTTTCAGGGCCACTCATCTGCACTTTCTGTTTGTAACTCATGGGTGGCAAGCTTGAGACACCTGTGACGGGACCAGGTAGAAGTTCCTGGAGCAAGGGGCTACTCTGCCTGCACTGCCTTCAAAAAACCTGACAAAGCTTCTCGGAAGAAATGTGTTCGAACTGGGCCTGCCGTTCCCGGTCGTGGGAATGCAGGAGTTCTTCCTGGACCTGAAAGATGAAGGTGGTCTCCGGCATCGAGTTTGAGCGGCAAGCGCGATGAATCGAACTAGAGTACTCTGGCTGGTTGTCAACTGCAGGCAGGATTGATCAAGCTTGCGTGTCATAAGGATGTCTCCAGTGGGGACATGAAGCAGCACAGGCACGTCGGAACTGGTTGTTGCAACAGATTCACGCTGTCTTGTCCGGGCAGGGTCCTTTAGTGCTCTGTCTTCATGCTGCAAGCCTTTGCAGCGGGGTGTGGGCGCCGCTAGCAAGCCGCTTATCGCCAGAGTCTGTAGTGGTGGCTTGATACCCAGCAGCATCTAAAGACAAAGACATGGGTCATGAACGAGTCTATAATGAGGCTTGTTGGAGGCACTCACAGCTCTCAGGTGACCTGCGAGGTCATGGCAGATCAGATGCACCCAGTGGGCGAGCACACTATTCCTGGCACGCCTTCGGGGAGGCGAGCCCGGCGAGTCGGGAATTGTCAGCACACTTCCGACTCAGCCGACTTTGCCCCAGGACTTCGTCCGATTGCTGCACTCAGTTTCGAAGCTGCATGGCCGTTACCCGGCTGCCTGCATCACCCACTCTTTTGCAGGATCGGGCTGAAGGGGTGGGACTGGCTGCCAGCAGCAGTTCTGGCTGTGCCTGCGCCAGGAGACACCGCTCTTATCGGCTTGGCAGCGAGGTCTCCTGCAGCTTGTATATGTCGTGTGCAAGAGAGTCGCGTGTGCACACGAGGCCAACCAGTATCAAGCTGCTGATGCTCGATCCAGTTCTGGCAGACGCCGAGGGTGCCACAACTGGAGCAGAGCGGTTAGCGAAGGCATGCTTAGGGCACATGCGAGAACAGTAGTAAAGCGGATGCCATCTGTTGCTGCCATTCCGAGAGGGCACAAGACGGCTCGGCGAAAAGGAAGCACTCGGCTTCGAGTCGCAGCAAGCTGTGGGCGATGGGCTTGAACGGGTTCTTCGTGCTGCGCTGGCACGCCCGTCCCTCCATCCAGAGGACCACCGCAAGGGTGTGCTTTTGTCAACACGAGGTGCAGCTTCAAGGAGTTCAGTTGCGTTTCGCAGGTTTCTCAAAGTCTAGAGTCTTGCAGGCAGGATACAAGCTGAGGCTCCTTGATTCGAAGTGCCAGTGCTCATGGTCACGGGGACCAAGGGGATTTGCACGGGGGCACATGAAATTCGGAACAGGCAAAGGCTGCATTTGCAGCCTACGGCAGCTACAACGACAATGGTCGATGGCGCTAGACGCTCAGACCGCTGGCTTGTGACTACATCCAGATGTGCAGCTTTAGGTTTGTTCTGTCGCCGCGAGAACGAGGCCGAGGTATATATGAATCGCATCGCAGCTTGGCAGCGGTGCCACTAAATGATCGTCGTGGGATGCTTGCAGTCCCAGGCACTTGCCGATTACCTGTCCGAGAAAAAGGTCAGTGCTGAGGCGACAACGGGCTTCTTTCGGATTCTGTCCGAGAGGGTCCAGGAGTCCCTTTGAATCCCGCCAGCACCCGTCAGACGCATGCACGATCTCAAGGTCCATTTGGTACTTTCGTCCAAGCGCCGCGCCAAACCTGAAGATCAGGACCTAGCTTGGACTTGCCCTTGCTCTGAACTGGAGTCTGTGCAGAGCACTTTGCCAGGAGAGTGCTCTCTTGCGCGACCAGCAGCAGGCGGAGAAGGTCGTGTCTCGATGCCTTCCTGGTTCGTCTGCTCCTCGCCTTCAGCAGCTTCTATCCAATTTTCGCTTAAAGTGCGACACCGTGCAATCCGTTTCGTAAAGGCTTAAGTCCCCGACGATTCTGCCTTGGCGCGAAGGACACGAAACCGCGCGTAGCTAAGGTAAAGGGGTCAGTTTTACAAGTCCCGACTGAGCTCAACATTGCTTTTGTCCTCTTCCTCTTGTCCTGAATTGGGGTTGGCAGGTGCGGTGCCTGCTTGCATCGCCCACCTTTGGAGAGCATTTTGGGGGCTTAGAGAGATTGCTTAAGGCCGCGCAGCCCCTCAACTGACGACTGCCCTTTCTTGCAATAGGATTCGACTTCGGCCTGCTTACGGCGCATAAAGGGGCTCCCCTTTTGTGTGTGTTAGCAGCTTAGCAGCCTGCGAAACCCAAGACGAAAGCTTGCATGGGTACGCTCCCAGACCCGTCGCAAACTATCCTTGGTTCAGAGGGCTGTTCCGGTCAATTGGCGATGCAGAAGCGGTGCGGGGGTGGGGGGATCCGTAACAAAGCGTTGCTCAGCCAGAACAACTATTATCACCGACTGCTGTCTCGTGATGTTCGTGCACTTTGCAAGCAGACGGGCTTCTGTGGTTCCCCGGAGGTTCATGCAGCTGATGGGCTGGGACACTTCCTGCTTTTAGAAGATCCGGCATACGTTGCCCAATTGGTTCGACGTGTTGTGTCACAAAGCTGACCTCGACCTAGCGGGAGTAAAAAGCTGCTCAAAGACGCTGAGAGATAATCGTTTGTGGATTGGCACGGGCAGACAAGCAGTGTTGAATTTGCGGAGGCAGGACTGCGGCGAAATCTGGCCACCTACGGATCTCTTATCAGTGCATGTGGCAACGCGCTCCAGTGGCAGGCTTGGCGGGGCCACCACGACCATTTCAATCGATTGCTTCAGCGCCCTGTGTTTTTTGACATGCCTTACACAGGCATCCTTGCACTTCCTGGAAGAACTGCAGACAAACAAGCTGGATCCTCGGTGCAGCGCATGTCGTCGAAATGATTCGAGATGCGCGCTTCAGAGCCCCTTTCAACCTCTTTTTTTTCGACTCTGTGTGGCATGCGTGGCCATCGTGTGGCCATCGCCTTTCACACTGCCCGACACAACACAGTAGCGAAACTCTTCTCCGCTCTGCAGGGCTTGAATCACATTCAATGTTTTTTTGCTGCAGGTGCTACTGTAGCGAAGTCCCTTCGTTGTCTGTTATCTGACAGCGGACTTGTTCCGACGGTCCAGACTCTTTCGGCTGTTGGAACCAGGCTTCTCTGCCTCAGGTGTCGTGGAACGTCCTGCGTTGATGGGATTTCTGCTGATCCATGAGAAACATGTTCGCGTGTCCTGGTCTGGGACTACCCGCTCTCCTTCTACTGTTCAATCATTTCCATGAAGTTTCCATGTGATGAAAGCAGGAGGAAGAAATCCGTGGACAGCCAAAGCTGATTGCAAAGAGTTCAACAGCAGCCAGCACTTCGCGGTAGGTTTCCGCGTAGCATGGTGCTGCATGGTGCTTCTATACCAAGATTGGAGCCTGGTCGGATCGTGCTGAATCTGTGCATCAACGCGTGCCGCAAGGCCTGTGAAGATCGGAAACAGCAAAGCAAGGCGTAGTAAAAGCAGATCATGCGAGAACATGCGAGGCCGAGCAGCTGCATGCAGCACTGGGCATTTTCAGCGAAATGCTCCAAAGGACCGGCCGGCTTTTTCAACAGTTTGAACCATCGGCCCACCACACTTGTGTAACAGCATGTTGTGTAAGAGGTCAGAGGAACCTGATGTTTTCTGCTACACCTCCATGATCTCTGCATGTCAGCACCCCAATACTACCGCCACCAGTCCTTTCTTGGTTTACAAAGATGCAAGCGAGAGCGAGGTGGTCCGAGTGCTCTCTGGCAGCTGGCCACCTATCTGCACCAGGTTCGTGATTGTGAGCTGAGCCCGATCAAAGCATTCACACGATCACATGCGAGAGGAGAAGCTATCATCGGCTTCGGACGTAGCTTCCTTCAATGCTACAATCGGTGTCTGTCGAGATGCCAGCCGATGGCAAGAGGCGCAGAGGAGCCGAGCTGGCGAAGCAGCTGGCCTCATAAGTTTACCGTTGACTTGACACAGGATCTTCTCCGACCTGTGTCAGAGGAAATTCATGCCAACACTGCCCACTTATAAGGCACGTCCAAACTATCGGTTGCCCACCTACATGCCGGCCCGAAAATCTGACAGGCAGTTATCGGAGCTTGCGCTTATGCCCAGCTTTGGGCGCATGCGCTGGAGCATTTGCGACAGCTCAAGCAGACACAGGATGCTCCCTGCATCTCGGCCAGCAGCTTTTTCGGTCAAAGCAGTTCTCGAAGGGCCGGAAGCCTGAGGCAGTGATGTGATCATACAGTACGGGATCGTGTCAAGGGCATCTGCGGAGGCAGTTGCGTATCGTCTAAGTAGCGAACAGTTTTGCGTCCAAAGACAGCGCTAGATCCGCTTCGACCATTACCATACCAGGCTGGGAGGAAGGACATCGAGCAAGCGCTGCTGAATGAGGCAGGCTTCATGCAGGGATGCAGGAACTGAGCTCTGCAGCGTCTGCAGCTTCTGCAGCGTCTGCAGGCGCAGAGGGGCCAAAGGGGGCTTTCTGTGCCTGGGCATTTCTCCGTTTCTGAATGGCGCGGGCCCTGGCACCCTGGGCCTGGGCCTCTGGGAAGCTGAAGCCGCTGGCCGTTCAAATCTGCTGCAGGTTGAGTGTTCTTCACTGGGAAACTGCCCTTTCCTTCTTCGAGGCTGAAGGGAGTCGCACAGCTCATGTCCCAACCGAAATGACCTCAGGCAGACGTCCGGATGCCACTCCGAACGTTCGGGGCTGGAAACAACCTGTTGAGCAGCAGCATGTGCATGCACACCGTGATATTCTTGATTTCAACTCCAGCTAGCTAGATGTGTCGGCAGTGGCCCGTGGCGAATCGGGTAGTGAACATCAGATTGGATGCTTGATTAGGGCTTTATGTGGTGTTTTGTCACTCCTCTTCAGTCATTGTCCGACCTGCCCCTTTAGTGCAATCTGCCTCGTCGTCTTCCGTCGCGTGCACAGCAATCCGTTTTTCCTGCCTTCGAATCCTCCCGCCATTTCCAAGACTCCTAGTGCCTGCAGTTGGCAATATGAGAAGCCAACGGAGAAGAGCAGACAGCAGGGTATTCAGACGAGATTCAGCGAATTCGGAGCCCCCCTTGCTCCCACGCCGCGTTCAAAACTCCGTTGAGGACGCTCTGGTGCCAGAACAATGCAGAGGTACATATACATGAAATTTCACATGTACAACATGCATGCATACATACATGCATGCTCTTTTAATTCTTGACTGCATAGGTGTGGTGAATGCGTCACAAGCACAAGACGAATTCTGGACAGCACTAATTAACATGGGCAGGTGGCGCAGATTTCTATAGACATAGTATGCTCCACCCCTCACAACATAATCAACAATGAAGGCACATGGACAGTGCATGAGAATGCTCTTCAAACAAAGGATGCTTTTTATTCCGCAGCCGGCGACCAAAGCACCACAAGGTACAATCCAAATTTCGGACCTGAGAAGCGCAGGATCTTCCTCATGGGTGTCGGATGAGGCTATCCCTACACAGTTAGCATACCCAGGATGTCAAAGCACGTTCATCGAAGTGATATCGGGGACATCAAAGCAAGTGCGATAAAATCAACGACAGTGCTCACTTATCAGCAACATGAAGGCCGTAGGACCGTAGGACCTCCACACACTCAAAGAAAAATAGCTCACTTGCTCAGGAACTGCCAACACCTGACGAGCCTCTGTTCTTCTTATGACGCACGTCTGGAAAGCCAGCGACTGCAAGAAGCCAACCACAAACTGCTTTATCGTGTAATATGCGAGCGAGCGTGTCCTCCATACCAATGTTCAACATGGCCACCTTGCACAGCGTGGCCCTCGCACCCATGAACGCCATGACATCGCGTGAAGTGCAGTAGTTTCCAGCTTTTAGTTTGATGATCCGGATGCCCTCGCTTGACGAGCCTCTCTTTTGCTTGATGGGAGCCGGCGGCTCCGGGTGGTATGCGAGCGTGTCCTCCAAACCAATGGTCAACATGGCCACCTTGCACAGTGTTTCCTGCACACCCATGAACACCATCACGTGGGGTGAGGGCCAAACCTGACTGCCCAGCTTGCGCATGGCACGCATGCCATCATGCACTGCATTATCGTAGCCGGCACGTACCCATGGCGGGTGCTGGGGCTCTCTAATCATAACAAGCAAAATTAGGGCTCTCCAATCATAACAAGCAAAATTAATGCATGGGTATACCCACAGAATATATATATATATATATAGATACTATATAATCATATATGTGTGGATGGACTACGTACATAGACATATATAATCATATATATATATATATATATAGACATGCATGGCCAGCGCGGCAAGCGCAAGAATTGCGAACGGGAGCACAAGGGTGGGTGCAAGGGGTAGTACATGGTCATGTCGGAACACAAATTTGTAGCAACCCCCTTCTGTAACAGAAAAGACTGTTGCGTGGGATGGAAACTGCTGGTTTGTACCTGTTCGAGATGTTCGTTTACAAAGCTTCAGGGCTCTCCTTTGTAAATGTACATTACAGAGCGGCATCACTGTGAACAGATCAGGACGCCTAACAGCATTGGCAATTTCGGTCACAGGATTGACAATATGAGCATAGGTTTTCGTTTTCTCACCAAATTGCAGGAACAGGAAATGCCGTTGTGTAGCCTCAGTAGCAATAGGGAAGACTGGTGCGACCAGTCTTTCGTCGTTGTGCTGAAATTGAATACCATTGCTATGATCAAGGAATAATTGTCATTGAAAGTTAAGGACGAGTGAAGGCTTCTGTGCCACCTCAAGCTTTTGATATGTTTTGGGAGGCACTGCCACAGGTGCTGTCCTTCCTTCACTGGGGTCTAGTCACTCCTGGTTTGGTTAGTTTGTGTTGCCCTGCCCATTGCTCCGGGTCCCTGCTGTTGCTCCTTGCTTTCTTCTGCTGCGGCTTCAGCCTGGGCCTTGGTGGAGATCTCCTCCGACTTCTGCTTCAGATCCTCCTCGGCCGCCACGGTCGCACCACCTGCGGCGTGCTCCGTGCATGGACAGTGAGGAGGCTGACTTCTCCTTCACTGCGCTGCGGAGGGCGATTGGCGATCCACGGCAGCGACTCCGTGCTGCACTCCTTTGGATCCCGTTCGCAGGAGGCAAAGGTTTACGGCTACGGGGATGGGACGATGTCGCTGGTGTTCTGGCGCTTTGCTGGGGTGGTCTGGCCCGGGTTGGCGAAGTGATTTCGGCCAAGAGGCGGGATCTCGTTCTTCCCCGAGACGTTGGACTTGAAGCTGCCCCGGTAGCTCAGCAGGTTTTTCTTTCTGTTCTTGAAGCAACGACTCGCTTCAAGGCTGCTCGTCATCAGTGTCTGAAGGTCGATCAGTCCCAGAGCTGTGAGGTCCATCTTTCTCCGAACTTGAGGCACTCTCTGCTGCAGCACGGAGTTCCCAATGCTCGACGTGGCTTTTTTTCAGCTGCAAGAGCACCGACAGCAGCTTCGCTGCTCCGTTGTGGCCCTTGAGTGCAGGCTTCCGCGCCGCCTCAAGCTTTTGCCACCCACCACCCCCAACCCCCGGCTGCAGCAGTACAGACAGAAGCTTTGCTTCTCCGTTGTGACCGTTATATAGTGAGAAGGTGCAAAAAAGCTGCCAAGTCCTTGTGTAGTTTTCAGTATTGCTGTTGCTACGTTGATATGACTACTCAACTACTCAAACGATATGGAATAGAAACACAATCAACCACTATATTGTCAGATGTCAGAAGAACGAACAAGACCGTTCAAAGTAGTAGTAAGCGCGGCATCAAGAAATCACATTCATAGGTTTGCAGTAATCTTATAATCAGAATCGAAATCTTCGTTGAAATAGTCAGTAGTAGTTGTCGTGGTGGTGGTGGTGGCGCTTGCTTGGTGGTGGTAGTGTAACACAAGACAAGGGGGCTTTGGTTCCGCTATCGTCACTTTCTGTTCCTTTCGGCCTTCAGCCCCCTCTCATCCGGAAAAGCGGGTAGTGCCGGCCAGGCTGTCCCAAGTTCCTATGAAGATGTGCACGCGGAAGTCAGATGTAATCTTGATGACACGCAACGCATGTGCACTCCTCTGCACGACTGAGGTTGGAGATGATTGTGGCCATCGTGGATGTATTGCTGACGGCAGGACGACATCCAGATGCATGGAGTGTTCTGTTGGCGGCACACGAGGCAGCGAGCGCTGGTCTGCAAGTGTCGTGCTTGCGATACTTGTTCCCGTGCCAGGATGGTGTGTTGAACATGTGGCAGGACGTTCCGTTTTACTGCGGACTTGTTTCAATTTATACAAGTCGTGTTTGCACACATGCTGTTCATCGGCACAGATGGAACGCGGTCTCGTTTCTCGTGAGTTGCATCCGTGATGTCGGCAGAGGTCGGTTCGGAAGGTTGACGAAGTTCCGGCCAATGTTCCACTGCCCGTCCGGACATGTGCTCTGGTGCCCCCGTCCCGGTGGGCGTGGATTTCACACGCCTTCCTTCAAGATGCAGCATGCTGACAAGCTTTTCAACATGTTCGTTGTGCGGTTTTTCATCACCAATGTGCTGTATCAAGAAGTTCATAAGTGCGTTTCAAGAAACTTATCGCATCACCAGGTCCAATCAGCCATGCAAGAGTCGCCTTGTACTTGCTCTAAATTCCGGCTGCAGTCTGCATACTTCAAGTTCACGGGCTGGCAGTGAACCACCAACCGCTCAGTCTGGAGTAAGTTAGTGAGGCTTCCAACGGGCAAAAAGCTCCTCCAAGTCTCTTCGTACATGTCTTTCTCACAGTAGGTTGAGCGAGAGACTCGAGAGCTTCACAGAGGCCGCCCAAAAGTTAGAGAGTTTTTTAAGTGCTATCAATGCAGAGGATGGATTCTGGGGTCTCGCTGTCATTGCATTGGTGCTTCCGGTTTCTACACCGTGTACTGTCTGACACTAGAATGCTGTCTGATGTCCACCTAACATGTGTTTGCAGTGCTTCCGTGCTCTGCATAGCATGCAAAGCAAGAATAAGCTTTTTCCTTCACTTAAAGCATTGCCCCGCTCATGCTTTAGTAAACGTGATGTGGCAGGATCCATGGACACTAGATTTGCACCAACTTGGACTTTGCCCCGGCTCTTCTGCCAGCTTTAGATCACATAGATTCAATGAACGAAGATGCTGTGAGGTCCTTGTTCTCCTGCAGTGGCTGTGGCTGCTGTTAGTGCCGCACTCGGGCAGATTCAGGAGGCCAACATGCGCGCAGACTCGCCGGCTGCCTGCAAGGTGCAATGCTTCTGTCGCGGGCGTCTCTTCATCAATTTCGTGCCCGGAATCATTTGGCTGGGCCGTCCAAGACGTGGTTTGATGCGTGATTTCAACAACCGATGCGTGGATGGGCATGCTTTCTTTGTGAGAAGTTCTATGTTGAGGTCATCATCACTGGACAAGGTTTTCACAGTCTTCATGGTGTTCCACGTCTGCTGCCAGCCGTGCTGTGTGCGTCCAAACGAAGGGCAGCCAATCGTCATTCGGCTTGACCAGACTCCTTCTCAGGTCCTTGTGCGACACGCTGTGCTTGAAAGCCTCGCAGGCAGGCCTGTCCAAGAGTTCGGCATCCGCTTAATCGTCTCGGCTCCAGGACCGGCTCAACCCAGGCCGTCTGCTCGTCGTAGCCTTGGTTGTACGGTTGTCGCATCACTTGACATCCGGCCCTTGGATGTTTGGGTGCTGCAGAGCCAGACAGTGCCAGGTGCCAGCAGCGACCCTGCATGCACTTTGGCAAGGGGTCCAAAGTGACCCGCTTGCTACAGGTGTGCATGAACTGTCATCGTCGGCGCAAAAGTCAAACTGGCTCCATTTTTGTTGCTGGTTTCGATGGCGGTGATTAGAAGGGTTGCTTCCAGAGAGACCAAAGTGGAGTCAATGAAGCTGCTGCAAGGGCTCGCTTTCTCATGCAACCGTGGCACAAAATTGAATTTCCCACTGACCCCGAACTCGCGTCCAAACAACAACGGCTCGCAAAAGTTCAGCATCTTCGGCTGGCGAAGCAGTGTTGGATTCGAATACTGGATACTTCGTGTCGATGTTTACACACATGTTGATATCACCTCGAGGCTCATCATCCACCAGGGACTCCCCTACGCTGATGTGTGGCAACATTGTTTGGTACAGAAATAGTCTGCTCGCATGCGAGCACTCGCTGCTTTGATTAAGAGGTCTTGAACAGTGCATGAACGTGTGTGATATGGCCTGCCTCCTTTTCGCCTCACTGCCCGTGTCGTCAGGCTGTACTTTCTCAAGAGCATGACAGATTGTAGAAGCTTTTTGGCGCAATGAAAATGACCACGAGTCAGCCCGTCGGCATCCTAATCACGCATCAGGTCATGCTGTCGCCCTCCGTTTTAATCCGAATCGAATGCTTGGCGCTGTCTGTTGAAGGTTCGAGCGACAGCAAGCTCCATGTGGGCAATTCTTGGTGTGGTATTGTTGCTGCTCCGTGTCTGCAATTTTAATGTGAGACTTGCAGCGTGCACCAGTGGTACCTCTACCATGCCTGGGTGAGCTCATGTAAATATTACGGATACGAATGCTATGTGTATGCATGTACACAGTTGCAAGCTCATAAATAAAGTGATGGTGACAGCTGGCCAATCTTGGCACAGGGTCCGACTCTGCAGTTGCACAGCTCCTCAGCATCGTGTAACAATCTCGTAGGATGTGCTGCCGCCGCACTTCCAATGTTGTAACAAGATTGGAGGTGCAAAGATGTTCGTAATCAACCAAGCAAGGTAGGTCTGACCCTTCTTACCGTTGTGCGGGACAGGACACGCTGAGTTCTTGATTGGCAAGGTATTGACCAGTATCCTCCTCCTCCTCCCCCTACTCCTCTTCCTCTTTCGGTGGAAGGGGGAATGCCATACGGCTACCTTACCACGACGAGCCGAAGAACAACAAGCTCACCATCACCCATTCTTCCTTACACACCTAGCATATTCACCACTAGTCACCACTGGTAAGTTTGAGTGCGGCCTGGAAGGTTTGTAGACAGCCTCTTTCTATGCATACGTGAGACGCAACTTGCTGTTTCACGAACTGACACTGTTCTGGCATTTATGAGCAACGGTAATTAACTTCGCAACTCACTTCACATTTGTCGAATTGCAGGTTGAATGGAGTTCGCCGCTGCGTACCAGTTGCTCTGCAACCCTTCTCGCAAGGCTAGTTCTTGTTCGTCGCAATACATTGGATCGGACGACAGGGTCAGCCTTTGCTCTTGGTTTCATGCGTCATAGGAAGTCTGAAAGCTTTGGACAAGTGTCGATACAGGTTTGCCTATGTGCTTGAAGTGTGTTTGGGTCAGGGAGGCACAGCATCCCGAAGGCTAACGACGGCAGTGAAATCTCATCGCATGTTTGCGGTGAGCTACGGGGCTTGTTGGTCCTTACGGCACCGTGATGCATTGCTAAGTCCTCTGAGCTTTCAGCAGAGTGTCTTGGCGTGATGGCGGCAGGTTTGGGACCTGCAGGTTGGTGTGCATATGCGGCAATGCTGCATTTCAGCCAGGTTTCGTCAGCCACTTCACATGCCGGCAAGCATTCAGGTCTTGTCTGGACTATTCTTCATCTATGCAGAGGATACAGTAGTGCAAAAGCAATGCTTTTTTGAATTCAGAATACGTTTTAGACATGTTCGCTTGCAGGGGTACCGTGGCTTCCAGCAGAAGTTTTCACCGTTGGTGGTGCGGAGAGCATTGCTGCTCGACCGTCAGCAGCCAGTTCTCCGACAGGCGCTACGACATGCAAGCCTGGAATCGGTTGATCAGTGTCGTTTGTGCGGTCGATCCGCCGCGGAGGAACCTGTTCCGTCTTGTCGAGCTAGCTCTACTTGTGCACTACATGACGCACGCTTGTCGTCGTGCACAGAAGTCGCAGCACTCTGGAGGTGCTTGCGCCCGCGTATGCCATGGCTTTTTTCCATGCGAACAAGAAGCGCAAGGCGGTTCTCTAAAGCAGGGCACATTCGGAATTCAGTTGCGTTGACTGTGCAAGGTCTCCTTCATTGTATGTTGGGATGTGCAGTAGTTTCCGATGACTTTCGCAACGATTGTGATACTCTGCTGGTGGTAGAATCGTGCAACAATACCGTCAGGATGTCCTAGAGGTTCGAATATGCTGCAGAACGTCAGACATTATATTAGTACTGCATCTTGCCGAGTATCAGCAATCACTCATTCGCCATCTGATTTATGTGGTCCTTTGCAAGCTCTTTTCGCTTGGCATGCTGGCTTGGTTTGGTTCCATGGCTTACAGCTTCTTGGCTCGTCGTGTGCCTCTGAGCATGCTGATACTGTTAATTACACTTGCCCCTTACATGTCTTCTAGCAGCTAGATATGTCTGGATCATGAAAAAGTAGGGAAATCAATCAGGGCCATAAGAAGGACAACAGCAATTGGGACACAAGAATGACAATAACAGCAGCAAGCAGCAGAGCAATTGGCACTGTGATCGTAGGAAGAGGTTAAAGCACTAACAACATAATGACAATGAGACAGGTAGCAGCGGTTACACCAGCACCAGCATCGACACCTCCACCGGCGACGAAGAGATCCTCCGCTGTATGGGCCCAGTGATGTTGCTGATGATGCACTATCGGTGCATCACGCAGACCGTCCGAGCTGGAGATCTTCGCATAATCCACGGAAAGTGTGAGATTTGTCCTCAGACGATGGAACAACGTCGGACCCACAATGGAGCACCCTGCGCAGCTCAAGCTGATCTCCGTCACCGCATAGTGGGCAAACGGAATGGCTGGGTGCGGTTTTCCTTTCCGATCCCCCGATGCGAGAGGTCTTGCGGACTGAACTTGTAAGGCTGATCGTGAAGATATGATGCCCGGGCTCAAGAGATGAGTGTGGCACAAATCTTGGGGTTTGTGCTTCTCTGACCCGCCTCCTCCTGAGTCTCCTTCATCTGTGCCTCGCCCTCGGCCCCTACGTCTTCGAGGATGCTTGCACGAGTAGGAGCACTCTCTGCTTCAGACCAGCCAGTCGGCCGTGGATTCCTTTGCGTGGTGCCCTGCAAGAGTTTGCGCAACATTCCCAGATTTGGGAACTTTGTGAGCCTGCAGAGGATAGCTCCTCGCCTTTTGTCGTGGGCGCTCCTTCCGGCGCCTGTGCTTCCTGGTCTGTGGTTCGTGTGTCTTTGGTTGATGCGAGCCTTGCTGAGCTTTGCACGCTACCTCGGATTGGGGACCCCCCTTGCCAGGCGACGCCCTCGTCTTGTCTCCTCTTTTGAAAACTCGACGGAAAGCCAGCGGTTACGTTTCTCACACTTGATGTGAAAAGTTTACCACACTGTGTTACACAGACACACCGAACAAAATCTCGACAAGAGTCGTTTTACTTGGTATTTACAGTACTTTTGTGATGTCGGACCCTTTTATATATTCACAAAACCTACTTCTGCACTTTGCGAACTCAACTTTGGGATTTCGGGGGCTTTCAGCGAAAACTCGAACTTGGGTGGGGGGACGCTTTTTCGGGGGATGATCACGACACTGTCTCGCGGACACCCCGAACAATATCTCCACACCTAGCGCGCACACATCACACATTACTTCAAAAGCAAACCCTCCTACGTCGAGGTCTGGGCTTTAGGGGTGTTGGCGAGCTCCTCCCACGTACAGCTGGCATCTTTGTTTTTGATTTTTACAGTTGCGCTTGAGGTTTTAGGAGTGTTGAAACTTTCTTGGCGGCACCTGCGTTTTGCACGGTATTTACAGCGTTTTCTTACCATCCGACCGCCTGTGCTTTAGCAGTTTCTTTCCCGTCGAGTTTGCAACTCCAACTGCTGTCGCAGTTTTGGGGCCTGAGCCTCTGCAACTTCAACGACTGGGACAGTTAAGGCAAATAAGCATGTGCAATTTCTGCAGCAGTCGCAGACAGGGAGCCTGAGCCCCTGCATCTTCTGCAGCAGGGGAGCCTGGAAGCTGCCACTGCCCACCCCGGATGGCGCCAGTGGTTGGTACGGGGGTGAGTAGTAGTAGTAGTAGTAGTA